GAAATAAATCTCTTTCTGTATAAATTACCCAGTCTCATGTATCTTTATAGCAGTGTGAAAATAGACTAATACAAAATAATTGGTACCTAAGAGTTGAGTGTTGCTGTAAACATACCTGAAAATGTGAAAACAAGGTTAGGACTGGATAATGGGCAGAAGTTGGAAGATTGTGGAGGGATCAGAAGAAGACAGGAAAATGAGGGGAAGTTTGGAACTTCTGAAAGACTTGTTAAATTGTTGTGACCAAAATGCTGATAGTGATAGAGATAGAGATGGTCAGTCTGGTGAGGTCTCAGAAAGAAATGAGGAAAAGATTGGGAACTGAAACAAAGGTCACCTTTTCTTATATGACTTGGGGGCATTGTGCCCTTGCTCTAGAGATTTGTGGAACTTTGAATTGGAGAGTGATAATTTAGAATATCTGAATCATCAGCAAAGGAATTTTTTTAAGGGAAAAAAGAAAGGAAGAAAAAGAAAGAAAAGAAGAAAAAGAGAGAGAAAAGAATAAAAGAGAGAAAGAAAGAGGAAGAGAAAGAAGGAGAGAGAACGGGAATCTTGCTTTATTGCCCAGGCTAGAAGCAGTCTAAAAATGGGTATCAGCAAAAGAATTTCTAAGCAATCAAGCATAAAGATGTGGCCTGGCTGCTTCAAACACACTATGCTCATATGTGTGAGCAAATAAATTATATAAAATTCAGACTTATATTCGACGGGAAAACAGAGCATAAAAGTTAGAAAAATTTGCAGCCCAGCCATGTGGTAGAAAAGAAAAACACATTTTCTGGGAAGAAATTCAGGCCAGCTGCAGAAATTTGCATAAGTAAAGCAGAGCCAAACATTAATAGCCAAGATAATAGGAGGTCTGAAGGTATCTCAGAGACTTCTGTGGTAATCCCTCCAATCACAGGCCCAGAGGCTTGGGAGGGAAGAATGATATTCTGGGCCAGGCCAGCCCTGCTATTCTGTGCAGCTTTGGGACACTGCTCTCTGCATCCCATCTGCTCCACTTCCAGCCATGGCTCCAAGGGCCAAGGTAAAGCTTAAGCCACTGCGTTAGATGGTGCAGGCCATAAGCTTTTGTGGCAACCATGTGGCGTTAAGTCTGCAGGTATACAGAATGCAAGAGTTCAGGTTGGGGAGCCTCTTCCCAGATTTCAGAAGATTTATGGAAAAGCCTGCATGTCCAAGCAGAAGCCAGCTGGAGGGGCAGAGACTACCTCTGCCCTTCTAGTAGAGCAGGGAACCTCTACTAGAGCAGTGTGGAAGGGAAATGTGGGGTTGGAATCCCCAACTTGGGCCTTGCCTCTTGGGGTGCCCACAAATGGTAGAACTGCTGATAGCTTGCACCAAGTGCCTGGAAAATTTGCAGGCACTCAACACCAGCCCAGGAGAGCAGCCATGGGGGTTGACCCTGGTAAAGTTACAGGGGGCAGAGCTTCCTAAGGCCTTGGGAGCCTATCCCTTGCACCAATGTGTACTGATAATAAGGCATGGAGTCAAAGGAGATTATTTTGTATATTTAAGATTTAATGACTATCCTGCTTAGTTTCAAATTCATATAGTCTGTAGCCCCTTTCTGTTGGTTTATCTCTTTCAGAACAGTAGTATTTAACCCACATGCCAATACCTCCATTGTATTTTGGGAGTAACAAACTTGTTCTTAATTTTACAGACTCTTAGATGGAAGGGACTAGACTTGTCTTAAATGGTACTTTGGACTTTTGAATTAATGCTGTAATAAGTTATTACTTTGGAGAATGTGGGTAAGTCATGATTTTATTTTGCAAGGTGAGAAGAACATAAGATTTGGTGGGATCAGGGGCAGAAATATATGGTTTGGATCTGTATCCCTTCCCAAATCTCATGTTGAATTGTAAACCTCGGTGTTGGAGGTCGGCCTGGTGGATAGCGATTGGCTTATGGGGCTGGATATCCCTCTTGGTGTTTTTGTCATCATAATAAGTGAGTTCTCATTAGAACTTGTCATTTAAAAGTGTGTGGCACCTCCCCTCCCTTGACTCTTCACCCTTCTCCTGCCATGTAAAATGCTTCCTCCTGCTTTGCCTTCGGCCATGATTGTGATTTTTCTGAAGCTTCTCCAGAAGCAGAAGTGGCTATGCTTCCTGTACAGCCTACAGAACCATATGCCAAGTAAACTTCTTTTCTTTATAAATTACCCAGCCTCAGATAATTCTTTATAGTGCTGCAAGAATGGATTAATACAATTAATAAAGCTAAACAAGTATGTACTATATTAGTCATTAATTTTTATGTAATAAATTACCCCAAAGTCAATTGTAAAAAATTACAGGCTTTTACTACCTTCTGGTTTTCATGAATCAGGAATTTGAAAGCAGTGTTGCTGGGTGTTTTTTGCTCTAGGGCTCTCATGGAATGCAATCTAAGCATCAGCTAGTCCTACGATCATCTCAGGCTTGGATGATAATCTGTAAAGCCTACTCACATGACTGTAGGAAGGATTTCCAAAAATCTACTTTGAGGTTACTCATTTGGTCTTCACTAGAGAACTATATTTACTGGCTTATTCCATAAATAAGTAATCAAACAGAGGAAGAAAAATCACCCAAGGTGTATTAGTCCATTTTCATACTGCTGATAACGGCATACCTGAGACTGGGCAATTTACAAAAGAAAGAGGTTTATTGGATTCACAGTTCCACATGGCTGGGGCAGTCTCACCATCATGGCAAAAAGTGAAAGGCACATCTTATGTGGCAGCAGACAAGAGAGGAGAACTTGTGCAGGAAACTTCCATTTTTAAAACCATCAAATCTCATGAGATTTATTCACTATCATGAGAACAGCACGGAAAGTCCCACCCCATGATTTAATTATCTCCCACCAGGTCCCTCGCACAACATGTGGAAATTGTGGAAATTACAATTCAAGATGAGATTTGGGAGGGGACACAGAGCCATACCATGTAATTCAACCCCAGCCCCTCCCAAATCACATGTCCTCACATTTCAAAACCAATCATGCCTTCCCAACAGTCCCACAAAGTCTTAACTTATTTCAGCGTTAACTCAAAAGTCCACAGTCTAAAATCTCATCTGAGACAAGGCAAGTGTCCTCCACCTATGAGCCTGTAAATCAAAAGCAAGTTAGTTACTTCCTAGATACAGTGGGGGTGCAGGCATTAGGTAATACAGCTGTTCCAAGTGGGAGAAATTGGCCAAAACAAAGGAGCTCCAGGCCTCATGCAAGTTTGAAATCCAGCAGGGCAATCAAATCTTAAAGCTCCAAAATGATCTCCTTTGACTTCACATTTCATATCTGGGTTAAACTGATGCAAGAGGTGGGTCCCCATGGTCTTGGGAAGCTCCGTCCCTGTAGCTTTGCAGGGTACAGTCTCCCTCCCAGTTGTTCTCATGGACTGATATTGAGTGTCTGCAGCTTTTCTAGGTGCATGGTGTAAGCAGTAAGTGGATCTACCATTTTGGGTCTGGAGGACAGTGGCCCTCTTCTAACAGCTCTACTAGGTGGTGTCCCAGTAGGGACTCTGTGTGGAGACTCTGGCCCCACATTTCCCTTCCACACTGCTCTAGCAGAGGTTCTCTGTGAGAGCCCTGCCCCAGCAGCCGACTTCTGCCTGGGCATCCAGGTGTTTCCATACATCCTCTGATATCTAGACAGAGGTTCCCACACCCCAATTCTTGACTTCGATGTACTTGCAGGCTCAACACCACATGGAAGCTGCCAAAGCTGAGACATGAACGCTCTGAAGCCAGGACCTGAGCTCTACATTGGCCTCTTTCAGTCATGGCTGGAGCAGCTGGAATGCAGGGTTCCAAATCTCTAGGTTGTACCTAGCACAGGGACCCTATTCTATGTCTGTGTCTATGTGTATATGTTGTTTAGCTCCCACTTACACATGAGTCAACTGAACATTATTTTAAATGAAAGAGCTCAGATATAAATTAGTGCCTGGCATCTTATAGTAGGAATAGGCAATGAGGAAGAATCAACAATAGTGATCACTTCTGGAAAATGAGTTTAGACAGGGAATAAGTACAAGAGATTCACATGAGATGATTGGAATGCCCCTCATCTCAAAATTTGTGTAATAGGACAACTGGTATATACATACATATTCATTTTAGATTAATGTTTAAAATTAGTGAACTTCACACAGTTTGCTATACATAAATTATAACACTTTAAAAATATGAAATATTTTTATTTTGAAAAGTATTTTTTTGTCATTTACAAAGATAACGTTCATAGTACGCCTCTAAAAGGGGTGCATAAATTGAAACTCACTTAGTGAGTTTATATAAACAGAGAAGAGTCAAGGTTTGGTATTGTGGAGGAAAGTTCCCCAAATTGAAAAATTCGTACATAAAATCATTCCCCAAATTTGACAGCAGCCTTAAAAATGTACATAATGCTGCCAATTATGAGTGTTGAAACAAAGAAAGTTCTTAACAAATCCCTTATTTGGTAACCTACTTAATGACTGTTTTTCTGAATAAAATATGTAGAATAAAAATATATTTGTCTTAATTGTTTTGGGCTGCTGTCACAAAATGCCATGAACTTAGTAGCTTAAAAAACAACAGAAATTTACTTCTCACAGCTCTGGAGGCTGGAAGTCCAACATCAATTTGTTGGTAGATGTCCGATCTGGTGCAGATCTCAATCATAGTAGGGGACTTTTTGCTGTGGAATCTCTCTCAGGCTTCTTTTAAAAGGGCACTAATCCAGTGAGGGCACTGATTCAACAGCATGAGGATTAGGATTTCAACATAAACATTTTAGGGGGGACAAAAGCATGCAGACCATAGCAACAGACATAACAGCATTTTGATTATTATTTAAAAAGAATGAAATAATAATTGCAAAGCTTGATATATGAGAACTATGAATTTTGCCTCTTGTAAGTCAGTGGTCTTCCTCTCACTCCTAAGTCTATTTATATCTACATTTCTTTTGTAAAATTTATAATTTCTAGCTCTTGGAATAAAAAAAAATCTTACCTGCTTTCACCACAAATACTGGAATGTGTGTACCTCTCAGTGAGGAAGCTTGTAGACTCAAATCTTAGCTTTCTCCAGCCGCTTCTACTCTACTATTTCCAGGCAGTAGGAAGCAGAATCTAGAATCCTAGAGTCTTCCAGAATCTCTAGGCCACAGTTAGAAAACAAAGAACCAGCATTGAAGTTTGGGGAGGTTTTCCAAAACTGAGTTTTTTGGCATGAGAAGATCAGGGTCATATTCTCTTTCCTTTCTCTCTTCCCAACCTCAGCTATCCTTTGCAGTCTTTGAAGGATTAATTGATGTGGTAAATTTCTTCACTTTGAGCTCACATTCCCCCTAGCCCTTTAGCTTACTCTGAGATTAATTCCCTAAATTTTGGTCATTGATAAATAAAAACGCACCTGTAGGATGTCCAAAAAATCTTTCTTTTATTTGTAAGCATAACTGGAAATTTGCAATTGATGTTTTACAAAAATATAGTGGATAGACTCAGACTTGCACTGTTAGATCCTCTTTCAAGGAAGTAATTTGTAGCCTCACCTCAGCTTTCAGCAGCAGCTCAACCTGCATGCAAACCACTCAGGAACTATAAGCCTACTGGCCTCATGGCAATTTCACTCCTCCCTCTGCCTGACCCTGCTTCCTCCCTCTTTTTTCTACAGGTGTGAATCTCTAATAAATATCTCACATGCTGAACTCTGCCTCAACATCCGCTTCCAGAGAACTCAACCTGGGGCATGTAGTTTGAAGTTCAAAGCTGAGTAGTGACTTTTCCTTTTCTTCTTCTTTTTGTTTTTTCCTAGGCAGTGTCTTCCTGCCTCTTATCTATAGCAGTAAACCTAATACTCTTGGCCTAGTCTTAGTTGCAGGATAATTCCAGGGAAAAAACATACATTAAAAAAAGAAAAAAATAATAAAATAACTTGAATGTCATTTCAAAGAATAATCCTGCTTTACTTCTTTACTTGGTTACATTAACCCCAGGAAAATTGAGGTCAAAAGCCTGACTTTTCTTTATGAAACTTCTGTGTAATTAATGAATTTCAGGAGGAAATGAGAGTTAAAACTCACGAAATGTAAATGAGTTTACATTTACATGTAAATGTAAAGGATGCACCCTTGTTTTTCACAGCCTTACCAAACTGAAATCTATAACTAAAGTAAGTTTTGATACTTTCACTTAAAAATTTCCCTAATCACGTGTTAATAATTTAACATTTACAGTGGAACAAAATCTCAACATCCATGACATTCCCCTTTCTAGCCAAAGCATAGCTCCCTGGAGAAATATGGGCATATTTTATGATTCCCTTTCATTTGCATTTTATAAGTGCCAGGACCTTCGGCTGATTTCTGCTTTCTTCGCATGTAAATTCCCCAGTGTTTGGGTAATGCAGTGAGGAGGAGATGTTCTAACCGGGAGGGACTGTGAAAATGTGACACTTCATGTATATAATACTGCCAGAGAATGAAGATTTGTATATAATGAATCCAAATTGTCAAAGGTACATTTTCAAGTGTTAGAAATTTATAATTTTGTTTTAGATGAAAAAGCTTCTAAAACCCACTATATACATCTTTTCTCTCAAATGCAGCTGATTGTTCATGGTTTGTTAATGATGCAGTATTTGGGAGATTAATACCACTAAGGATATGGGTACGTGTTTGTCCAGCATACACCATCCAAAGACATTTATCTTCATAAGTCAGACAACTGGTCCTCTTTCTTAATGCTCTTTTATCTGGCTGTAGACTATAGTAGCTCTATTTCCTGATGAAATCTAAATTGAGTTTTAATTTTTAGCATTAACAAAACAAATCACTAAACCTGGAAAAGTAATGTACAAAATGTGTGCTTAAAGTGGATAAAGTCCTTTAGGCCTCTCTGGTAAATCAAAATTTGTAAGTGATTTAATTAATGTTTTAGCCTAGTGTCTCTGCTTTTCTTTGAGTATCTCTGATTTATGACCAGCTCTATAACTGATATGTAATAGCTTTAACTACTTCTCCAACACCTTCAACTATCCCTTTGACCCTCTATCTTTATTTTAGATGCTTCCTTCCTTACCCCCCCCAAGTCAAAGGAATGTGGTACTGCCAGTTAGTACTCATTCATAAGTCATTTACCATGCATACACCTGCTTTCCAGCTTCTAAACTATTCTTAGTGTCTACTCTATCTCCCAATATTCTTGATTTTAAGAGTTATTTAAAAAAAGAATTTTTTTTTCTGAAGATAGTTGGGGTTGCAGAAAACCAAAATTAGATGTTCTATCCTCAAAATTTTGATGTCCTCAATCACAGCACTCTTTTTTACTTGTTAGACATTATTACTTCCTGAACCAATGTGTTCCGATACCAGCTTTTGTCATGCTTTGCTCTCTGTGAAGTACTCTCTAGCACCATGGAATTGGGAGAGAAAGCAGCAGAACAAAACGAATGACAAAAACACTTACTTAGGCGAACATAATATTTCTCCAGAATAATGCATCTGGATGCCAGGGTGGCCCACATACATTCATTTGCCTCTCCTATGTGTGTTATTTGCCTTGTGGTCATCCTTTGTTTTCAGATATAGAGTTTCTGCCTAACCCTTGTATTACATTATCTACTCTTAGTTTTTAGCTTCTAGATCTTTCTGTCTCTGTACATTTTATGTGGGGACTTCCTATTCTTATTTCTCAAATCTCATTATACCCATTTCTAACTATGGACCTAAATGTATATGTATTATTTACAGAAGTACTGTTTGTCAGCTTTCACACTGTGTAAAATGTGTTGCTCTGAAATTTAGTATGGAAAATGGTCTATGGTATCCTCTGATTTTGGTTTTGATTTGTTTCTTCTATTACATGGCCAACAAGAAAAGTCTGAACTCTTCTGTTCTTCAAAACACTCCTAATTGTATTTACCTGGTTATCTTTTATTTCTTTTTGATCACCTTGCCCACATTAGGTAGGTGCCATACTGATTGCCCTTGCAGAACTTCCAGTATGAATTCATTCTGGCCATTATGTTTTTCTTTTTCTTTTTTGTTTCATTCATTTCACAATCACTGTCTGGCATTTGCTCCCAGGATTTTGGAAAAGGTTTTGTTTCCTTCTATCCAGTTGTTGTTGGTACATGATGGCTTTGAGCAGAATTTTAGTAGAAAAATGGCCCTTGTAAAAATATATCATCCTTTGTTCATGATAATTTCTTTGCTTTTTTTTTTTTTTAAAAAAAAAGCCTTCTTTGTTTATGCTGATTTCTCATTTAATAAATATTTTCCCTTCTTTCAAACAGCATAGTGGAAAGTGTAAAAGCACTTAGGATACAAGACACTGTACCATTCCCTGTATTTGCATTACTGTTGAAATCCTGCAATCAACTGATTAAATATATTTTAATCCATTTTGATGAATAAATATAAGATGAGAATGTATGATACATTCATTATTGAATCAGGTTCCATAGATTTCAAGAGAGCATACCACTTCTTCCTTGAAGGAAGATCACTGTGTAAAGGGGGAGGAAGCCATGTGAAATGATTACTGCAACTGACTACCATGACTTCTTCTGCAGAGATAAGAACAGTTAGTAAACTAGTCTGATGTGGGTGGGTCACATAAATCAGAAAAGGATGGGCACTGTGCTATCTCTTTCCAAATGTGTTGTCACTTGTTTTCATTTCATTCAACCTCTTAGTTGAAAGATATTAGAGTTTCTGAGGGAAAAAGGTATGCTTGGTTCTAGCTCAGAGGCCAAAACAGTGCTTCCTTAAAACCTGTTTGCAAATTTCCATGTACTGTTTTTTTTGGTTCCTGTTATCTTCCGACTTTCATTTACTCTGTAGTAGCATTGATGCAATGGCAATAGCAAGCTCACAGCTTGGGTGGCCATTTTACCTTATGCCATCCCCAGGGCTTTCTTAACTCCAACTTGTTTTCCCATTTGTAAAAAAAAAAAAAAAAAAACAAAAACAGTAGGCCCCAAAAGCTACATGTGGCAAAATGAAAGCTGCTTATACTATTTTATGATGAGAGTAAATAACGCTTAACATGTTTCATATTCATCAGAATAATTTCCTTATGTTTCCATCATTTGGCCATGGGGAATTTCTTTCACACTAAAACCTGTTCCCGGGCTTCACAAACACCGTCTAGCTCCAGGACCCTTCTGACCTCAGCAGTCTGTTCCATTGCTGCTGAAATAGTGCTTTTCAAGAAAGAAAATATGTTCTGGTCTATTTTTTCACTGTTCCATGTATGAAGTTCTAATTATCCATAATGGAAATTATACATATATATTAGTGGGCAAAGGACCTTTCTCAAGTATCATCTGTTTCCTTTCTAATCTCTTGTCAGTCTAACAAAATGTTTTCAGAATCTGAACTTGGTGCTAATTAGATTCCATCAAAGATCTCATGATATTGCCAATTGGGTTTTACTAACCTTTTCTGTAGTGACGTTTCAAGACAGTTATATTTTTAAAAATCTAGCACATCACATAGTAACTCAGTTAATATTTGTAAACCACCACGAATGTATGTTTTATCCTCCAAGATGTTTTTAAAAATCATCAACTCCATCCATCACTTCATTGTATGATTTTAAGATTTTGACCAGTTTGTATGTGATGCACATTGGAAGGCAAGCCCTTTATATTAGACTGCATTAGATTCCATTATTACAAAAGAGCTTAGAAAAATAGTTATAACATTGACTGTTCTTTTTTAATGATAAATACATATGAATTATTTACCTTGTTGTCAAGACCTTAAAAGGATTGTAATTTGAAGGTTAGACATATCTTGCTTGTGGATTTTGGAATAACATGTTTTAACAGAGTGTATTAAGCATTCAGAAGACTGATTCTTTTCATGCCCTTGATAATAAATTCGCTTTTCTCATGCAATGAATTCACTTGAGATTCACAGTCTCCTCATAAACCTTGCAGTAAAATGTTTAACTTCAGATTTCAAATGCTATAGTATATTTTATGGTAATAAATATTATCCCTATGGGATTGTGAATTTGGTAATCATACACAATGTTTCACTGAGAGAGATCTTACCTCCCACATATAACATATGGAGGTCTCATTTGAGTATT